TCTGTACTATCTTTCTCTTAATCTATTTGGATTTTGATTTTGTTTCTTATATATGTAAAAATAAACTAAAAGAAAATTATATTAAATTTGATTAATAATATTGTTCCTTTTTTTTAATTTTTTAGATATGTATATAAATGATATCAGATAGATTATTTTATTTCTTAATAAAATGTATCGTTTAATTTAAATCAAATATTCAAAATTAATAAATAAAATTACATTTGATTTTAAAAAATAAAATTACAAATGTATTAAATTTTATTTTTTAAAAATAATTAACGAACCAATTGATTTCAATTTGGAATCCAAATAAACTCTTATTGATTGAACATTGATATTCTCGTCTACTTATAAAATCATTCACTATTAGACCACCGAAATCCAGTGGTTCTAATTTCACCTAAAATCCTCCAATCATCTCAAAGTCTTTAAATCCAACGGCAAAGAATGCACTGGATATTTTTCACTTTTCAGGCTGGGGCCCAACTGAAAGCAGAACACCACCACGTGGATATCTGTGATGTTACTGGCGTTAACAACACAAGTGGGCTCCCACAAAGGACAAAACGTCTAGTCAACGGTGATTGTTTCCACGTGGCTTAATTCTGAGAAGGGTCCCCCACCTCAAATATTATTTTTACTTCAATTTAGTATTTTTTTTTAAATTCCAAAATTTCCCCGGATTCTAAGTCGTGACCAGCATGGACTTTGGGTCCCACTTTGCCACGTGGTTCCTAAAGACAAGAATACAGGTGGCGTTGTTTCTTTTTTATCCTTTCAAGTCCTTCTCGCCGACTTACTAAACTTCTGATCGTTAATTCGTGATAGTCTAAGAGACTTCCTGTGTCTAATTATTTCTAATCAAACGATAGTTTAAAAAAAAAAAGTTGCATTCACCCAAAAATGTAAAACTAATTATTATCATAGGTTTTCTCTTTTGTCAAAATCTCTTTGGTTATTTTTTTTAAAACTATTCATCAAAATAATAATTGAAAATTAAGTACTCCTTTGACTTTGAAATTTCAAACTTTGATCCTTATTTTTCTAGCAAAATTTTTAATTAATGATAGAACAAAATTTATTTCCATCATATATGAAAGATTTCTCAAATTTATTCAAAAAAAAAATAATGATTCGTTCGTAACGAAATTAATTGTAATCTTTTTAATTGAACATTTTTTAAATTTATCAAAAATTTTTTTAAAAATTTTGTTTAAGTATAAGAAAAATTATCTGACAATAAAATTTTTAAATTTCACAAATAAAATAAAAAAATAACATATATTTCTTAAAATATATTTAAAAATAAAAATAAAATATGTGTCAATCTCTTAATTTTATTTATAAAATTAAAAAAATTTACGTTGCAATACAAAATTTAATACTAACTCCAATAATGTAATAACAAATTTGACCTTTAACCCCACTATTTATTTATAATCGCAAAAATTAGTACACAACTAAAATGTCACTAGCAAAAAGAAAGAGGGTTCTCTTTCCTAGTCATGAAAAAGGAAGAAAAACAAGAGATAATGTTCAAGCATGTGAGTATGAAAATGATATTTGTCTTTCATTTTTAACTTTTACTCTTTAAATGGTTGATCTTGGGCTTTCCTAATGGAGTAAGCACAACACCCCCATCAAATAAAATTCCATGCTTAACTCTTTTCATTAATAAATGATCATTTCAATAATAATTTATTCAAAGTAGCATTTCATATCTTTCCCCACTACATGAAATCATTTGTCCAAATATCTTGTTTATGCTTTTATAGAAAGGATTGTTAGCCCCTACCTTGAAATCTACCTTATCTCTGATTTGTGATTAAAAAAAAAACAATGTTGTGTAACATTTTGTTGGTGAAGTGACCCTATTTGACCAAAAAGCTTTGTTGCCATGGATAAGGGAGAAAAGCATGTATAAAATGGCAAATGAAGGCATTTAATAGTGGATAATAGAGTTATCATCAACCTTGCATTATAGGCAACAAGATGCTTGGCACTTCTTGTTTACTCCATTTGTTACCATCTTGAAAGAAATTTCAGGGGCAACAAGATGCTTGGCACTTCTTGTTTACTTCATTTGTTACCATCTTGAAAGAAATTTCACGAGTCATCCTAAAGTCAAGGGCAGTTTGGAATTCATATTGTAAATGATTAAAATTTATAAAGCTTATGATTAAAGAGGAGACTCTAAAATTTTGAGATCTTAAGTTGAAATCTCATTGTGTGTGGGTTTGATTCAATTTTATGTTAAATTCATTTATTTATATGTTAGTTTGTTGGTTGATTATTTAATGATTTCTTAGATGTAATACTTTATTATAATTATAATTTCTCTTATAATTTCATTAAAAAAATTATAGAATTGTTATATCCCAATTATTTGTTAACATTTTAACTGGTAAGTCAACACCTGTTGATCGCCAGTTATTTGTTACACTTTGTTTATTTTAGTGTTAACTTGTGTTCCGAAATCTTACCTCCAACATCCTATGATCATTATTTCTTTTACAAGTCACTCCAATTTTTAAATAAAACCATCTGACAAATTTACATCAAAATATCCGACTTAACCCAAAAAATCATAATCTTTGAACTTATGGTTTAAAATGTATTTGATGCATAAAATTATGATAACATAAAATAAGACAAAATGATATTATAAATGGGATTAGATAAAATAATATTATTTTATTTTATATTTGAAGTATACATGAATTAAAATATGATAATTTATTTATTTGTTAAAATTATTTTTCTTCAAAGTTTATATAATTTAAATTATTAATGTAATTTTTAAGAATATAATTAAACATATAAGTTTAATCCTATAAATTATAAATAATTCTCTCCACTTAAAAATATTTAATCAAGATGATAATTAATTTTTCCTGGAATCATATCAATTTCATTAGATGAAAACCAAACATACTATAAAATAATTATCATCCTATCATATACATCAAATATAACATATATACATCTAAGTTACGGGTAATTTTTGGTATAGACTTCAACCAACGGTTTTAGCTTTATGTGACACTTGGTTCTTTCCCAAGGTCACAATCTTTGCCCAATTCAGCTAATCAAAGCACATGCATCTACTATATTCTATCATCTTATTTTAATCAAGTTATAGAAAAACAGTTGGGAATAAAATATGTAAAATTGCGATCAATTTCTTCCAAGTTAGGCTTGTTTCTCTCCTTTAATTGACTTTGTCATAACTCTTATCTTGCTGAAATAGAGTTACCATGCATTAAATTAATAGCCATATAACTTTCCCTTTAATTTATGTAAGAAAACCTAATCTCACAAGTTTTTTTTTAAGCAGAGGTCCAGCTAAGACCTACAAATGCCTTCATTTTCTAATAGAAACTTCAACATCAACAGATCATCATCTATTGTACATTGAAGAAAGAAAACCACCATATTTTGTTGAGTTGACAAAGTGATTGCGACCTTAATGTGTCATAAGGAAAACCCATAATAAAAAAGAAAGCCTACATTCTACTAGAAAATTCCCACATTTATTGTTACTACCCACAATCAAATCCTAAAACAATTTTAATGCACTCTTTCACATCTGAAATAACATGAGTAAATAGTATATATATATATATTGGTGGGATTTTGGTGTGGAGAAATCTTGAGCAATGGTGCTCATCAAAAGAAAAAAAAAAACTGTGAAGAAATTATGGGATATTTCAACACATTATGAACATGGCAACAGTGCCTTGCACCACAACAATAAACCAGCAGACACAAAAAAGAGAAAGGCCTTATCTCCTCTTCATTCACTTTCAATTCCTTTATTTCTTAATTTTTAGAAAAAAATGGATTTTATGTGAAAAGTGAAAAAAAAAAAGTCTCTGGGAATTGTCTTTTTTTTTTTCTGGGTTAATGTCTGGTGACTGCTATAATTGTCTGTCTGGATCCTCAAATTGTTCTCTGAAAAAACAAAACTACTTTTGTTTGTTTTCTCAGACAATGGCACTCGAAAAGGGAACAACCTCTGATTCTACCTTATCTCTCCCTGTACACTTTAAAACAAAAGTTGGTTCCTGATAAACAGTTCTTGTCTTTTGATTTTTTTTTTTCTGGACCATGTTGTATGAATTCCTGGCCAATTTTATGTACTGAAACAGCATTGTAGGGGCCAAGTGACACACTCTCACACAGTTGGCTTACATTTACTTTGTTTTAATATAACATTGAATTTTTTCACATTCCTTTTAAATAAATATCTTCAAAACTTTCGCTTCATAGCAAAATATCATGGATATATACAATAAAATATTGAAAACGGAGGGGGGGGGGGGGAGTTGGAGGTTGAGAGAAAACCCTTTATTCTTGAAGATGATTTCTTGTAAACTATCTCAGTCTCAGCTAATGAATGGGGGTTAAAAAAATGTTAATGAGAGGTGATCAGGTGATCTGATGTGATGAAATATTGAATTTAAGAGAACAAATTCTAAATCTAAGCCTAATCTTCAAGAAGCATGCATGTAAATTGATGCTAATAAGGTCTTTCATCAAAAGCTGCTATCATCTTTTGACAGGGATTTGGATTCTCTTTACTCCACTTAAAAAGGGTATCATTGTGTTTTTTTTATTTTAAGATAAAAAAGGGTATCATTGTTTCTTTAATTATAACTATAGGGTACTACAGTTGGTTTGCGTAGGTATTAGATTCCAGAGATGGGCCATGAACTTTTCAGTTTGTAGTTTTATTGGTCATTTGAACATTCAAAAACAGTTGTTTACTTTATAATTACTAGAGTTAATGGATAAACACAATGGAAAAAGTTGGTGTGCTTTTTCTTGAAAATAATGGAAAAAGAAAGGTGTTTATGGTTATTAGTCTTTCTTGTTTGCCGTTTTAGTAAATGTGTGCCATGAGACTTCAGTGGGCAGGATTCCTGGCTGGAATTAAGAACCAAATTCCCATGAAATGTGATGATTATCAAAAGATAAAACAGCTAAAGAAAAAGAGAATTCTTTTGTTTTTTTGGAAGATCTTTCCTTGAAGCACGAACTGTTTTTGTACATGGCTAAATCAAAAGTCCCTATGCATAAAGAAGTTGAAAGAAAAAGAAACATAAAAACATGAGAGGGGTGGGGGGTAACGTAGAATGGGTCCATTTAACTTTTTCCTAAGATGATCACAAAAACAGTTCCTGTGAACTTCCATGGAAAGCTACAAATTAAGAGAAGTCCCCGTCATTTCCCTTAATTCTTGTTGCTCCATTGCTTGTGGCCAGGCAACCATTTGGGACATTTGGGACTGAAGTAACTGGACACAGCCCTTGAGTTCAAAAGTTCAACAATGGGAGCAAATTTCACACATCTTGGAGTCTTGTACTGGTTAATTGAAGCACCTAAGCTAATGGCATAGTCCATCAGCTTGTCAAATGTCCCTGGTTCAACAATCTTGATCTCAAGAGGTCCAATTGATTTGTCACATACACGCCCTTGGCGGTACACACTGTTGAGGGACTCTTCAATGGTCAAGCAACAGTCTTCAAAAACTGAGGGAGGAATTGGGGTGGTACCATTGAGGCTAAGTTCCCAGTAGAGCACATAGTGGCCGGGAATTGTAGTGGTATCTCCAAAACTAGTATACTCAGCCAATGTTGCATCAAATGGCAGCAAATGGTTCACTGCATTCTTGACAGCATTTTGAAGTTCAACCTCATCAGTCTTATCTGAATCAATGCTCAAAACCACATTTTTTCTGCATACGAAATTGAATTGCGGTGCCTTGTTCTTGAACCCTGCTACCCTTAGCACATCACCAACTCTGTAACGGTAAAGTCCTGCAAAATATTAGTTTTAACAGTCAGTATATATAGACAAGTGAAACTATACCATAATTCTTAAAATGTTAAGTTGATGTATCTAAAAACTCACCTGCATAAGTGGTGACAACAAGCTCATACTCTTGGCCAAGCTTAACATCAACAAGGTTAACCAATTCTTGTTGTTCTTTCTCATTGAGAGATTTACGCACAGAAATAGAATTAGTGACCCCATTGTTTCTGTGAACTGGCAAGAATTCAAAGTAGGCCATGGTGGGAATGAGAGTATAGGAAACTTCACTTGGCTTGCAAAGAGGCTTCAAGTTGACCCCAAAATAGCATTCACTAGATGCATACATGGTGCAGACAAGAGGGAGGCTATTGCTATAGTAATCAAGAGTGGGAATATACTGTGACATGGTCCCTGTCACAATCACATCCACATACTTTGTATTAGGCCATAACCTTGTTATGATCCCTTGCCATGAATCTTTGCTACACTCAGCCTCAATAAAATCAGCTAGTTTAGGATCAGGTTTCAGGATTTTCATGACAGCCTCTCTGACAGATTGGTCAGTGATTTGGGCATCAATGGTTCCAGTTCTAATATCATTGCAAAGGAAAGGCCAACGTTTTTCAAGAAACCTGATGGCCCTAATGAAGCCAGAGGCAAAAACAGCACCAACCCTGAGAACTTCTTTGTGTTGGCAAAGTCCACAAAGCAATTGAGAATACATGCTTTGGTAAGAATCAGGACAAAGAATGGTTTCATTTGGGCTAGTGTAGTTTGTGTAAGGGTCATATGGCCTATTTTTGAAATGGCTACTTTTGTAGTAGCTAGTGAGAACTGGGCGTGCCACAAGGCCACCAGGTGTCTTAGCCTCGGATTTTATAAACAAAAAGTACATTCCTTTGCCTTCGTCTAGACCAGGAACAAATTGGCTCATAACAGGCATCAATAGGCTATAGAGCAGTGACCTCCTCCCTAACTCCTCTTCAATTGTTGGCATCAACTTTCTCTCTCCACCTGATGTCCCAGAGCTGAAAAGAACAAACCAAAACTACCCATTTAGCCAAAACCAACTAAAAGAAACCAAACAAGCCAGAAATTTTACTGACTATTATGACAGTTAAGTGGTATATATAATCAAGTTTAACAATTGTAACTGTTGTAGGTGTCCATAGGACTCCACAACAGGAACAGTCATCATGTTTTTTTTCTTCTTTAAGCCAAAAACAGCTGAAAAGTCAAAAAAATCATTGTTTTACATGAAAAACAGGAACTTTGAAAAGGCCTTGGAGCAGAGGAAGTAAAAACAGGAAAGTTAAAGAAGAAATCAAATTTCACATGTAAAAAAAAGGGTTGCTTCATTTTCATATCCTGACCTTGTCAAGAACTCAGAAATGGGCTTGGAACAAAGGATTGGAGAGGTGTCACCATTGGCAATACGGTCAATATCAGGCTGGATATTCTCATAGTTGATGACGGGCATAATTTTTTTGAAAGTTTCTCGATCAGTGTGACCATTGAGGCCATGTCTTTGCAAGTACTCAACATGAGCATTGCGTGAAAGGATCTCTTCCAGGACTTTCTTTTGAACTTCATCAGCGTTTGAAGTCACATCTTCAATGAACTGAAGGGTTTTCTTGTTCTTCAATTCCAGGTTGTAATCTGTTGGCTTTTGTGTGTTCTTTGGTGCTTCTGGCATGTTTCTGGTTTTTGTTTTTGCACCTTTGAACCAGAAAAAAAGCTTTCAAAAATGGGTTTTAAGCCTTTTAACAGCAAAGAAAGAGAGAAAAGAGAGGTTTTGATTTAGAAAAGATGGAGTCTTTGGTTTTGGTTTTGGTGTGAAGGAGAAAGAAGAAAGGAGTTGGGTATATATAGAGGGAGAAATGAAGCTGACTCAGCTTAATTTCTATACATTGAGGAGAGTAAACAATTACTAGTATAAGGAAGGGCATAAATGTCAATTCATCTTTTTCCATTTATCGATATTTTCCCATTTTCTAGCATGTCTTCAAGAAAAAGAAAATTTACATGTGTTTTTTTTTTTTTTTTTTTAAGTTTTTGGTCAAATCCCCTATGCTTAAATTAATAATAAAAAAATAAAACATTTAAAATTCCACAATTGAAATGACTTGCCATCAAGTTTTATCCCTAATTGACCAATTCCATTGGCACACCAAAATCTCATTTATCACCTCATTTTATCGTTTTAAAACAAATACTTTGCTTTTTATTCTTTTATTTCAAGAGTACTATTCACAATTTAATTTATAAAAAAGTTTAATTTATTTGAATAAATATCACATTTCTAAAATTTTTAAAATACATAATTAATTTAGTGAGAAAAAAAATTCAAGACTCATATTCTTAAATTAAATATGATAATTTAAATATAATATAATGATACATAAAAAATAATATAAAAAATATAAAAATGATTTTATTTAAAATTTTAATAAAAAATATGTAAATTTAGCAAAATTTTTTTTAAAAAAGCATGTTTTATATTTAATATATTAAAATTTTTTTGATATAATAATTTTTATATTTTATAAATATTTTGTACTAAAAACACACATTATCAATGTATGTTCTAAGTACATTTCATAAAAGAGTACTTTAAAATGTAAAGAAGGAAAAAAAATTTTATCCGGGCAGAAGAGGTTGACTGGCAGTGTCCGGTAAACGCGCAGTAAAATCACCGGTTACAAGCTGTCTCACAAAATACCGACAGCCATTTCCTTGATTAGTTAAATTTTATTTTTAATTTTTTGACTTGCATTTCCCGGTGACTGAAAAACGGCGTTTCTTGTTGAAGAATCCAAGTGGGACCAGCCAGCTGGCTGCCAAACTTGATAAGTTGACACGTGTACGAATGCGAGTTTAGTTTCTTCACGTAGTTTATTTTCGCTAGGATCGGCTTCACAATTCATTCCATCGGCAAACACTCGGCTTCTATACTATTATACCCAACATATGTTGGTATAATATGGGTATTTTCGAAATTCACTTTTAAGTTAGCATTTTCCCTTTTTCAGATTTCGTGTATTTGGGATTAACTCAAATAATAAAATTGAAATGAAATTAGAGTACAAATTGAATTTAAATTGTCATATTCTCTTTATGAATTAAATTTCGACATATTAATTATTTTTTATGCATAATTCACGTCAGATATCAATAAATTAGGATATTTTATTATAATTTTCAATTGAATAAGAATTTTAACTAAAGCTTATGCTTATTAGATATTACTGATTATAATTTAATTTTTGATAATTTTAAATATATAAAAAAATTCATTTATAAAATTTTGAAAGTAATATAATTATATTAACTAAACAAATAATTTTTAAAAGATAGTATAACATAGTTGTGGTCTTTGATGTACATTTATGAAATAAAAATACATTTAATACATAAGTCAAGGGTTCCATAAATAAGATATAGGTATTGACTACAATGTAGCATTTATGAAATCTTGATTATTGATGAAAACATAATTCATATGACTTTGAATGTATGGCCCCTCATTGTGGACCATGGGCAGTTTCATAGGACTTTGACTTGATATTTAGGTACGTAGCCATCTATTATAATATATAATATATATCTCGTATATGAGAGAGGCATTGATAGTATATTATTAAGAGTCCAAAATTAGTTTAAAAAAATAGAGTTACTACTTAAGGCTCCCTTTGGTATTTTTTTTTTTACTTTTTATTATTTTTTTTATTATTTTTATTATTTTTTATTTGTTATTTTTTGTGATCGTACCATAAAAAATTGAAAATACTTATCAAACTGAGTCTAAGTAGTTTGATTTCTAGTTATTTTACTATTGTATGTGAATAAAAGATAATTACAAGATAGAAAATAACAAAAAAGATAGTTATTAGCTCGTAAGCTTGGAAAGTGTGGAAAAACTTGATAAACTAGCCAAGAATGCATGTGGGGTGTGAGAATAGACACATAACTAAATTTTGCACCAATATTGCCATGACTTTCTTTTTTTTTTTTTTTGTAATGTATTAAGAAGGCATGTCTTAATTGCTAGGGTTTCATCAAAAGATCTTTTAAAATAATTTAAAGAAAACACCAAGATATTATGAGAAATATTTTCAACCTAACTTGTGAAGATTAATCGAGCTTAATTAAAGTTAGACTTAAAGTTTTGAAAAAAATGATTAAGAATTGAAAGGTTTGGGTTTTAAGTTTTTGCTATATGTGAAACGAAGAGTAGATACTTCCAAAAAGGTGGGTACTTGACCGTGGATAATGTGAATCATGCTTATCCATCACTTTCCCATTCTTACATCACTTTGCCTTCAATAGATTTTGTCTTTAGGGATTGGCCAAATGAAAGGGTTCATGTCAAATTTTTTAATTAGGTTCGATAGACTAATGTTTTCAATAGTTTTCAATATTTTTGTCATATCTTATGTATCCAAATTCGATCACTTTGAAACCTTTAGCATAAAAACTACAATGAGTTGAGCAAAACATTTGCAGCATTGTTTGGCCGATCTTATGCATATTTCATTGCATTAAATGTACCTCGACAAAAGGCAATCAACATATGAGAGGTCCATTAGTTTCTCACATCTGTACTTACTATGTTAAAATCCATCGAGAGGGGACAGCTCATGATAAAAATTTCGTAAGAGAGTTTTTCAAATCGAAATCTCACTAACAATCTTTGACAATGAAATCTTGCATAAGTTTTCTTGAAAAGCTTATTTGTTTCACTTGCTTTTCACAATATCACTTTGACAAGGATGTTCTAGCTAATTTGATGATAAAGGGTGCTCAAGAACACCAAGAAAATTATACTACTTTGAACTTAGTATAACCCATTTGTCCTTGCATTTGATACCTAACGTATATCCAGAACTATCTTTCGTTTTTTAGGTCAAATACAAAATATATATAACACAAGCAATGTACCCAAATGTCAAACATCGTAGACAAAGTGCCACTTGAGTTAACCATCATTAATTGACATCGTTAAATAGCATATTAATCATGTAATATATTTTTTAATAAATTTGTTAATTTTTTTATTTGATCACAATTTTTTATAATTCATTCCAAATATAAGTATCGGAATTGAATTCATGGAAAGAAAATTACAAGTAAAATAAATGTGAGTTGTTCATAATATATATATATATATCTATATCATGAATAATAAATGAATTTATTCTTCATGGAATCATGGAACAGATTCATGGAATGCCAACTAATGATATTTGATGCTAACTATTTATGTTAAAACATGGCTTTAATGTTGTCTCACCAGTTTTCTAAAGATATTCTTACCACATTACCCTTTTTTCTTATAAAATTCATACCCTCCAAGTATATATGACGTATATATAAAAACAAGAAATTACATAAATTTAGATGATCCAGACGAAATAAGAATTGATGATAATCGGCGATTTAAGAGGAAAAAAACAAATCGCCATGTTAGTGTATGGCCACCGAAAGTTTCACACACCATATCATACCCCATAATTCAAGAGAACTTGTTGGGAAAAGGGTTACCAAGTTTATGTCATTGCCACATCATCACATTACCCTCCACCAAGGATGTCTACACTTTTGCCACGTGTATGAGCCCTACTCTTGCCACCACTTGTCCACGCCCTTTTGGCCTTTGGCCACTGCAGCAAATCCGACGTGGGAAAAACCCGGCTTCGTTGACCGGTCAAATGGACTGACCCGAAACATTATCCGATGATAAAAAATCATCAAATACAATAAATAAACATTATAAATTAAATTAAACTTTATTTTTGACGAAGATGAAAAAAAAAGTGGGACCTCTATGCTTGGTAGGGGGGAGAAATTGAGTGCACCAAAGCAGGTAGGACCCGAGCCAAGTGGGGTGCATAGTGCTTGGTGAGGGGTGAAGGGAGAGGGGCTTTGGGGGAATGTAATGTTAAATTGTTTTTTTGGGGGTAAGAGAGAATGTGTGAGCAATAGGGGGAAGTGTGGTGAGTGTGGGAGACAGAGACAGTAATGCAAATCTTGGACCGTTGACATTTCATCAAAATTGATATTTTTATTTTATTTTCTATTTGTTTTTAACATCTCGAGAAAAATTTTTAAGAAATTAAAATTGGGTGGGAAGAGGATATAATTAATACTATGGGAAAAATTATATCTAAAAAAAAATGTATTGCAAGTCAAAAGAAAAATATAAAGTACAAAAAACCATATCCAGTCCTTGCTCTTCTCACTTGTATCCCATTATCCCATCTTTCTACCGTTTATTTTTACATAAAATTTCAACGTATATAATTGGTTTTGCATGAAAAAATGAAAAAAGAAAAGAATTTGGTGTTAAAAATTAGTTATAATTTATATCTATAATAATATATAAAAGTACAAATGTGAAAAAATTTTTAATTGACGAAAATAAGCATGATTGTTAATTATATTTTTAAATTACAAATTTGATAACATTTTATTATTATTTATTATGATTTATAACGACTAAGATTGGTTAAATCGAGCATAAAGCTTGTTAAACATAATTTCATGCATGCATTTAGTTAATTATAATTATCAAAGATACATAATTAAACCACAAAATCACATAGAAGATCACGTGAAATGAAGTTGCTAAAAAGGTGTTTATATATATATATATATATATATATATATATATATATATATATTCTCTTCAATCTCACACAGTGGTTGAGATTTGATCAATCATAGCTCTAAAACATGTAGGGTAGTGAATGTAGAGGGAGAATTCCATATATATAGTTTTTGTTAGCAAATTCCAGCCAAGCAACACATAAAATATATATATATATATATATATATTCATAAATTGAACCACAAGTCTATGATCTTTGAGCAATATTTTATGTCCATTCACAACTTTGACACCTCAAATTTTATATCCATAACTTTTAAAAATATTTCAAATTCATCAAATTC